TTTTAGCTTCTGCACATGCGCAGAAGGTCTGTGCGCGCATGTGATGCTTGCACGCGCAGGGCGTGTGCACTTCCGAACCGGTAAGGAAGGTAAGTAGATTTCACCCCTGTAATAAAGTATATAGGTTAAAATAGACATGTTATCTTTAGTAATCAATAATGGACTTTTGCTGCCCAAACTGAACAAGGCTTTAACGATTTGTTTCTAGATAAGAGACGTGGAAAGAAATAGTTTGTTGAGAAGGTGATAAATTACTAAAATTGTTAATACTTGCTGTGATGAAGGGGGAAATAATTTCTTTCTATATACAGTATATGTTTTCTTTTTCTTTACTATATTTAATTTTTTTCTTTTCTATTTTTTTTCTTTTTCTTTTTTTTGGTATTAGTTTTTTATCATTTTAATTATAAAGTTTAATAAAATTACTATTAAATAGTTTGAATTTGAAGGTCTCATTTATTACTTACCGGAAAGGTATCAATCCTAATGCCAGTTCCCTCTAATGTAGAGTAACCCAAATCAGTTTTTAGATTTCAGGTTGCTTCGCTACTGTTTTTTGAAAACTTAAAATGGACGCAGGTAGTCCCTGACTTACAATCACAGTTGAGGCCAAAATTTCCATTGCTAAGCAAGGCAGTTGTTAAAAGAGCCTCGGTGGTGCAACAGACTAAAGTGCTGTTAAGTGCTAGCACTTAGCTGCCAGCTGCCTGCAATTAGTGCAAGTTCGAATCTCACCAGGCTCAAGGTTGATTCAGCCTTCCATCCTTTCGTGGTAGGTAAATTGAGGACCCAGATTGTGGGGGCAATAAGCCAACTTTGTATAGAAAAACACCGCTTGGGGGGGGGCGAAAGCCCTAATAAGCAGGTATATACAAAAAAAGTATGCAGGCTATTGCTATAATGCATTGTAAGCCGCCCTGAGTCTACGGAAAAGGGTGGCATATAAATTGGACTAATAAATAAATAAATAAGTAAATTGAACCCCATTTTACCACAGTTGTTAAGCAAATCAATGCAGTTAAGTGAATCATTCAGTCTATAAGTGAATCTAGCTGTCCCCATTGACTTTGCTTGTTTGGAAGGCTCCTGGAAAGGTTACAAATGGTGATCACCTGACACACACAAACACACACACACCCCAGGACAGTGCAACAATCACAAGTACATGCCACCAAGTGCTCAAATGTTGATCATGTGAGCATGGGGCTGCTGCAATGGTCATAAATGTGAAAACCCATCCTAAGTCACTTTTTTCGGTCAGCTCTTGCTAAATGAATGGTTGTAAATCAAGGACCACTTATACTTTGTTTGGCTCTAGAAGGAAGTCAGCAGGCAGACGTCTTGACTTTATTGCCTCCAAAACACCCAATTTTATGAGCCCAGATCTATGAAACTAATCCTTGAGCACAGCTCTTCTCATATTCCCACTGTCTAGCCCAGGGGTCAGCAACCTATGGCTCCGGAGCCACGTGTGGCTCTTTGGGCCCTCTGCTGTGGCTCCCTGTCAAGTGATCCCAACACTGGCTGGCCCCACCCCTGGCCCCCCCTCCCCTCCCAGTCACTCCTCACCACTCCTCTGAGAAGGTAAGGGCAGCAGCGGGGGATGGAGAAGCAGCCAGGGCAGAGACAGAGAGATACAGAGAGAGAGGGAGGGGGGGAGAGAGGGAGGGATAGGAGAGTGAGAGATGTCAAAAGGATTTTGTGGTTCCTGGTGTTTTTTAACAACTGGTTCTCTGCCCTAATGACCGGCTGGGTAGGCGTGGCTGGGGTGTGTGTCATGTGACTGGTGGAAGTGAGTGACATCGAGTTGGCCATGCCCACCCAGGTTTTGTGGCTCCCGGTGTTTTCTTTTCTGTGGGAAATAGGTCCAAATGGGGTTTTTTTTTTTAATTTGATTTATATGCCACCCTTCTCCGGAGACTCAGGGCGGCTTACAATGCGTTAAGCAATAGCCTTCATACTTTTGTATATTTATACGAAGTCAGCTTATTGCCCCCACAAACTGGGTCCTCAATTTACCTACCTTAGAAAGGATGGAAGGCTGAGTCAACCTTGAGCCTGGTGAGATTCGAACTTACAGTAATTGCAGACAGCTGGTGTTAATCACAATGCTATCAGTCTACTGAGCCACCAGGCCCCGGTTCTTTGAGAATTTAAGGTTGCAGACCCCTGGTCTAGCCAAAAGGCCTAAGAATATGGAGTTGCCTTAGCATTAGGTCAACAATAATTAATAATAAATAACATGGAGGATAGCAATAGCAATAGCACTTAGACTTATATACTGCTTCACAGTGCTTTAAGCCCTCTCTAAGCAGTTTACAGAGTCAGCCTATTGTCTCCAACAATCTGGGTCCTCATTTTACCCACCTCAGATGGATGGAAGGCTGAATAAATCTTGAGCCTGGTGAGATTTAAACTGCCAAATTGCAGGCAGGCAGCAGAAGTAGCCTGCAGTACTGCACTCTAACCACTGTGCCACTGAGGCTCATCCCCTAAAACTTCAAGAACTTCAAAATTATCCAGTAAGGAATATGCATATATGCATTCTTTACTTTGTATAGGGCATAAAATACTAGATTTTATAAAAAATACCTTTTATATACGTTCCTGTGAGGAGTTCATTATCAGGCTAGCCATGCTGGAAAGGGAATATAAGAAAACGCCCCAAGGGATGGAACAAGGAACATGAGTATTACACAATCATCCAACACGCCCAGCCCTAAGGACTTAGTTTGATCTTCCTTGATCTATCACCCACCAGAGATGGTGGATTAAAACTCCTGCCACCTCCAGTCAACAAGAAAGGATGGGAACAGTGTGTGAGGTACTTGGAGAACCTTTAAATTAGCTTATTTCATGAGTCAAACACAACGGAACCTTCCAGAATTACAAACACTCTGCTACACTTATTTAAGCTTGTAAAAATGAAAAGGGGTTCTGATATAGCCAAGAGAGACAAGTGATTGGATACACAATGGGTATAAAGTATGCCTTAAATGCAGTGGTGGGATTCAGCCAGTTCACACCACTTCGGGAGAACCAGTTGTTAACTTTCTGAGCAGTTTGGCAAACTCGTTGTTGGAAGAAATCATTAGGGCAGAGAACCGGTTGTTAAATTACTTGAATCCCACCACTGCTTAAATGCCATGCAGAAATTTAAATTCAAGTCAACCCATTTCAAAATAAGTATATTTGCCTACTAAATAAGGCAGACGGAATTAAAAGGAAACAAGTTGCCCCATGGGAAACAATATGATTTAATGAAGTTGCTTCAGGCAGGAATTTTACACTGTACCTTTTAGTACAACTAAAGGAGAACCAACACCATAAACAAAACAGGAGGGTGGTAAGTGAAAGGAACGTATTCCATCCTCCTTCAGCCAATAAAAAGAGTCAGGTTTGTGGCCAGTTCAGGAAGGACTTTGATTGCACAGTACATAGTCAACTAACCTGCTATGAAAGCTAAAGGAAGCTCTGGTAATCAGAGGAGGACCAGGGGTCCCTAGCTGAGTGACCATGACTATTCAGCTGGATCATCCCTCCCCACAGAACTGCTGTGCAGTAAAAAGAAAGAGATGGAGAAATGCATAAAAAAATGAGCTTTCCGGAGGAAGAAAACTGGATAAAAATAATATTTATTTTAAAAAGGTAGCAAGCCTCATCGTTGTTTTATCTAGTCCCTTTGGTGTTGCTAAACTAGATCCCACTAACCATCTTTCATGATAGGACCAGGAGTTCAAAATGTTTCAAGAAATTTATTTGTGACAAAAATAATCCGAAAAGAGGGAGAGTAGAATGAGAGAGAAAGGATTAGGTTCATTTTAAACTGGAAAGTAAGGTTTTAATGAAGGGCCAGGGGAGGAAATAAGAAAATGTGGGACATTGGTTGCTTAGATGATAATGTATAAATGCTGTTTTGCTTCTTTCAAATAATAAACCAGCCTTGCTACTTTTGGGGATCCTTCTTTCTAAATCTTGCTCTAAGAACCTCTGACTCCATTGTTACTCCTTTGTATTGGTTTTAAAGGATACAAAGGATAGCTTGACAGGTTTAGTTGTTGTGTTCAACTCTCTACTGTTCAGCATGACTGCAACAAAGAGGAATCATTGTGTTCACTAGACTTCTCTTGCTCACCCCATAGTCCACAAAAAACGTGGGGGAAAGCCTCATATCCCGATCCTTACTAGGACCAATACTGTTGAAAATTCATTTGTGAAGGAAGCAGAGTCTACATAGGAAACTGGTTTAAAGCCTTAATATCTCTGATCTCGATCACTCGATCACCTCTCCCTCTCTCCCCCTCCCTCTCCCTCCTTCTCCTTCTCCCTCTCCCTCTCCCTCTCCTTCTCCTTCTCCCTCTCCCTCTCCCCCTCCCTCTCTCCCTCTCCCTCCTTCCCTCCCTCTCTCTCCCTCTCTCTCTCTCCTCTCTCTCCCTTCCTTCCCTCCCTCTCCCTCTCTCTCCCTCCCCTCTCTCCCTCCCTCCCTCTCTCTCTCTCCTCTCTCTCTCTCTCTCTCTCTCTCACACACACACACACACACACACACACGAAAAATTATCCTGCGCAACGGCAGCACCTAGCTCATCATAGGATATCAAAGTAAGCAGGTTTGGAGCTGATCAGTAATTGAATTAGGAATCCAGGCTTCTGTATTAGTTGGGAAACTACAAAGGTGTCCTGGAAGGGGACGTGGCAAAGCAGTTCCTCCTTGGCGCTGGGGAAATTGTTAAGGCTCCTCACAGGCACCAGAAGACAAGCTCGACTTCAGAGTTTGCAAGGGGGTGAGGGTGGGGGGGGAGAGAGGAAAGAACAAGAAGCAATGGGGAAAAATCCAGCCGCGCTCATATGTCATCCCAAGCGATAGAACCGACCACCAACTGGGAATAAAGGGCAACTCTTTGCGTGTAAGAGGGGAAAGAAAGGTGGACGAGAGCCTCCACCTCGCCAGGAGAAGCGCCCCTTTTTCGAAACGTTAAGCCAGCGTCTCAAGCCTAACTTACCCAAAATCTCCTTCCTCCGTTGCGTGTGGGGCTGGTCAGTGTAAACCCACTCGAAATCCCCACGGGTGACCCGGTTACCCATCCCTGCTACCACACTAAGCGGGGTGGCTTCTGGTGCTGAACAGAAAAGCGCGGTCCAGGAAGGCACCTTATATCAACCCGGAGCAGCCTGGAGGCAGACCCCGCCCCACGCTCGTCCGCTTCAACCACCGAGCTTCCAGGGCCGCCCAGCTAATCTGGTTTTGCGAATGGAGTCAGCTCCCCCTTTGCGTTCAGGAGAGCAAAGGGGGGCGGAGGGGCGCCATCCTTTGCCGGCTGGTCAGAGCCTGCCGGCTTCCTTAGGCGCAGAGTGGTGAACTTTCATCGTTTAGAGTCATTGCTCCTGGTCCAAACCAAGCAGGAGGCTCTGGACTTTCTGTTTTTCCTTTGAAGATATTTAGCTTCTCATGGAAGAAGCTTCTTCAGCTCTGAAAAAAAGCACCTTTGGGACATCCATGACCTGGATGACTGAGAATCTCCATAGACAAGAGAGGCTTGGTAACTGGGAGTAGGAGGTGGCCAGGGAGTGAGCAAGAAGCAGCTGGTGGACAACACAAGGTTTGAGATGAGTAGGACCCCAGAAGAAGGCTAGAGAGAGTGTCCTGCTTGAGTAGGGGTCAGACCCAGTGGGTTGTGGTTTGCCTTCTAGTGCAGGGGTCTCCAACCTTGACAACTTTAAAACTTGTGGACTTCAAGTCTTAAAGTTGCCAAGGTTGGAGACACCTGTTCTAGTGGTATGGCTTTTGGTTTAAGTGGTTTGTCTGTTAGATCCCAAAATATGAAGCAATTGCATTCTGATGCAAGAAGAATGCAGAAGTGTGCAACAATTCAAACGACTTCTGCAAAATCTTCAGATTAGCATGGTTGTAAATTATAACAACAATGTTATGAAAAGTCCAGAACAGGAGAGGAAGTTGATTTGGGGTCTAGATAGTATAATGATCCTGCAGGAATGCTCCTGAGGAAGATGTCAAAGATATCATCAAAGGGGATGGAAGCTTCATTTATCAGACTGGCTCAGATCAAAGCATGGTGCTCAGCTTCCTGATCCACCAGGAGCTCCAGGAATATCATTGATCATTCAGACCTGCCTGAAGAGTCAGAAAATTATATGCCTAAATTTAAATTCTTGTTTGGATGATAACATTAATAATAATATATTGTGGCAGTGCTTGGAGACAGCAGAAGAGAAGAGAAAGAACTGGAGATGATAGCAAAATACAAAGACCTGCAAATAGAAATAAACCAACTCTGGCAAAAGAAATCAAGTACCAATAGGAATGTCTATGGAGATTCTCAGTCATCCAGGTCATGGTTGTCCTAAAGGTGCTTTTTCAAGAAGCAACTGGACTTTCTGGTTTTTCTTTGAAGACATTTCGCTTCTCGTCCAAGAAGCTTCTTTACCTTTAACGTCATTAAAAAATCAACAACTGCCTATCCCAGGTCATTGGGAAGGACTTGATAAGTGGACAAAAATGCCAAATCCAGTCTGAACATCTGGCTGACCATGCAATGAATAAAAAAGTATAGTTAAGAGTGTCCCAGTGTGAATTTGGGCTTGAATGTTTCCTCCAATTGTTCACCTTGAACTGATTTACAGAAGAGATATTATTGAGATTACAAGTATAAAATTGATCAAAGTGTATGCCAAGAATGCTTGCTATGTATATGTGTATAATAAAATTATGTTGAGTTCAATAAAAAACTCTGTTGGGCTGGATAGCGAGAGAAATTCACCCAAATTCACACTCTTTTGAGTTTTAAATAATTTTTGCTGAAGTAAGGAGCTCACCACTGAGAAGAAGCATGTTTATTGCTGCCATCATTGAATGCCTTTACAAGAAATAGGTACCCTGGAAAATGGAAAAACAAAAATGTGTACAGAGGTTGAGGGCTACTAAGTGGGAAATCCTAGGAAATTGATTTGCTGACCAGTTCTGGAGAAGCTAGGAAACTGCTTGTCCAATTTGGGATTATTTCTATTGTTAGGGAAAATGAGCTAAATTGGTTAAATGAGGTTACAGGTGACTTTGTCTGGGACAGGGTACAGTCTCCATTTGCCTGTATTTTTTCCACTACACCAGTGCATATACTATCTTGGTCCTGATGTGTTCAGCCCCCAACATTTGATTGAAGTGATGTCAATGTTATGCAGCATTTGAAGGTGGGAATTTCCTGTGATTTACTTATCTATTCACAAAGGCAGTAGGAAACTGGCACTTGCCTTCACAATCAGAGAATTTAGGGCTGGAAGGTGTCTAGTCCAAACCAATAGCCAAGGCAAGAGTCCTTGTATCACCTTATACAAATGGTTGTGCAATCTTTTCTTGAAAACCTCCAGTGATGGAGAACCCACAACTTTGGAAGGCAAGCTATTCCACTGATTAATTGTTTGCACTGTCAAGAAATTCTTCCTTATTTTGAGACTGGATCTCCCTCTGATCTCTCTCCGTCTGATTCCATCCATTGTGTCTTTTAATCCAGCTACTGTATATTCCTTGTGGAAAATAAACCTGCATATTACTGGGAGAGGGGGGAAAAAGATAAGATAGAAAAGAGACAAAGATCTGAGTGAAAATGGGAAGCAGACGCCATATCAGTATGGTTTGTACTTACTCATTTCCATCCAGGGGTTAGAAGACCTGAAAGATAAAACAGCTAGTGATGGTGCAGGTGGCAACTACATAATGGCTTGGTGACATCACGTGGCAAGAGAAGCCTGCAGTGAGAACACAGCACAAACCTGTGAGCATGAGTCAGGTTTCATAATGCAAATTGAAGGGGACAGAACTTTTTATCATGTGAAAAAAAAGTTTGTTCCTCCAACATATCACCTAGAACATTAATTAATGTTCTGAACTAAGTGTTCTGAATTAAATGCTCTGATAACCAGGTGGCATTTGATAAATTGCAACAAAATTGCTCTTTCTTCCCCCAGGGTTCACCATCCAAATCTTCGTGGTTACTCCAAAGTTAATTAATTTTCCACCTAAGAATCCATCTAATAAGCAAAAACGTGAAAACTTGATTCGTTTTGCTTTTTATGGTTTCTTTTTTGAGATCCAGCCAAATGGTTATCTCTGCATAGTTTGCAGATTTGGCTATAGAAATATGAATAATAATTGGAGGAAAGTATCCCAAAGACGCTTTTCAGGAGGCAACTGGACTTTCTTGTTTTTTCTTTTGATGACATTTTGCTTCTCATCCAAGAAGCTTCTTCAGCACTGACAGGATAGTGGGGAATGGAAGGATTTATACTCCTTGCAGATAGCTGGCAATCTGCATTCTTTTAGAGCAGGGGTGTCAAACTCAATGCCCAAGAGCTGGATGCATCACTCGCTGGCCACACCTACCCCCAGTTTAGTGAAGGGGGAAAAAGTCATGATACGTCATGTGACGATGTGATGATGCGAGTTTGACACCCCTGTTTTAGAGGGTCATTGAAACACTTGTGTCCTCAGGGTCTTTTCTGTGTCCTTTTCTCTGGAAATTGCAAACTACAGGAACCAGGAGCACTACTCCGGTGACCCTGAGGACACAGATAAACCTACAAGTGTTTCAATGACCGTCTAAAAGGATGAAAATTACCAGCTGTCTACAAGGAATATAAATCCTTCCATTACCCACTATCCTGTCAAAGCTGAAGAAGCTTCTTGGATGAGAAACGAAACATCTTCAAAAGAAAAAACAAGAAAGTCTTTGTCTCTTGAAAAAGCACCCTTGGGACAACCATGACCTCTAAAAACTCTATTTTACTGTTTAGTAAATAGCAGAAATCAAATCTGCTGTAGTCATCTACAATGACCAGCGCATACTTTGCTCCTCCCAAACTGGCTTGCATTGGTCCAACCAAATCTGCATGTACCGGCCCTAGAGCTCTTGTTATCTGCCTTGTGCTACTTTGCTTACTGAGAATGCCTTGGACTTTGATGATTTACATAGTGCACAGTCCAAGTATGCTCTAACTGAATAAACAGAGTCTGCATCAGTGATGAAATGCAATTTTTTTTGCTACCAGTTCTGTGGGCGTGGGTTGGTGGGCATGTCATGTGACTGAGTGGGCATGGCCAACTTTTAAAAACATTTTTTACTACCTTTTCACCCAACCTGGTAGTAAAAAAATGCTTTAAAAAAGTAAAAAAAGAAGATTCTGACGATCACAGCTGTGCCGTGCCTATTCGCCTGAACTGGTAGTAAAAAGGTTCCAATGATTGCATGGCACAACTGATTGTCAATCAGCTGTGCCGCATGATCTTCAGAACCTTTCTTTAACTTTTTAAAAGCATTTTTTTACTACCTATTCGCCCGAACTGGTAGTAAAAAAATGCTTTAAAAAAGTCAAAAAAGGTTCTGATGATTGCGTGGCACAGCTGTGGTCTTCGGAACCTTTTTTTACTTTTTATAGCATTTTTTTTACTACTGGTTCACCTGAACCGGTAGTTTTTATCACTATTGGTTCGCCCGAACTGGAGCGAACCGGTAGCATTTCACTCCTGGTCTGCATGTGCAGCAAATGCTTCTCTACACTCTCTTGTGGTAGCAGCTGGGCTCTGTACAATTGTCTTGATAATTGCACAATATTGCATGCTGACACACTCACATGCACAGTTCTCAATTTCAGCCAAACCTCCTTTGCAGTTTTTAAATCAGCTACATTCAAGAATTGTTCATCTTCCAAGCATAAAATGATGTAGGCCAGTGTCTTATCATGCTGCCGTTGATCTGCAGCTGCTAATGACCCCTGAGGTGGATTACTAACAATATCCCAGAGCTCCTTAGCCTTCGGGAAGCACTCCATTTTTGCAGCCCAAATAATATAATTCTTCTGCCCCAATCAGGGCAGAGAGCTCTCCTTTAAATCAACAGCCATCCTGCAAGCCTTCTCAGCCTTGTTCTCTTTTGCTTATAACAAATGAACTCTCACAGCACAGAACAGTTAAGCTAAGCCACGCCCAGGCTCCAAGTTGTCTCATATGGCTCAGTCAACAAATCTTGTGTCTCAGTCACCAAACAGTTCCCATTGGCTGACTTGTTCCTATGGCTATTCTAGTTCATAAATTCTTATACTCTGAC